CCTTGAAAACTGCAAGGACTCGTCCAAGCAGTCACTGCAGAGTCGGTAACGACTGAGCGCAGATAAAAACAAAAACAAAACTTTCTGTATCTGCAAATGTAATACCAGTAACATACAAACATCTGTTTCCTTTACTTGATGGTATATCCTGTGGAAATGGGGAAAAAATTGTTAAGAAAGGGAGAATTTCAGGTTCTGACTAGCTCTTCTGTCAATGTGCTACTCAACTGAGAATAATAGTCGGTACTGCAGTCTGTTATTAGCAGTGATTCACATAATGATCATGGCATATTTAGTATCTTTTATCTCTAAAGTTAATCAGCCTCATTATTTTATATCTTGCAACAAGCTTTCAATATGAAGCCTCAAGGAAAATATCAAGGCTTTCCCTATTTTAAAATATCTTCTATTATTTGTTCCATCATTAGCTCTTAATAAGTAGAGAATTAGGTCAGAATGAAGTGTGGGGAAAGCAAATTCAGTGATTGGATGATGGGAGAGTAAGTGGGGGAGAAAGTGGAGTAGGGAAATTTATTTATTTTATTTATTTATATGTCAAATTTATATCACCGCCCAACTCCCCCACAAGGAGGGACTCTTGTTATTTATTTTATTTATTTATATGTCAAATTTATATCACCGCCCAACTCCCCCACAAGGAGGGACTCTTGTTATTTATTTTATTTATTTATATGTCAAATTTATATCACCGCCCAACTCCCCCACAAGGAGGGACTCTTGTGAAAAGTTACATAAGACTCTTTTAGTTTGGTTAGGTTAAATAGTTTCCATGGAAGTATGAGATTTTAGATGCTTTTCTCCCCAAAATGTAATTACAGTATATTGTTTTGGAGGAAAGGAAACAGTTTCCTAATGTTTAAATGGTTTTATGGTGGATAAGACATTTGCAGCATGGTTGCACTTTTTAGAATGTATCCATTCTGTATTTGTGGCATATACATCAACAAATATATACAATATGTTCTATTATTTGTATTTATATACTTCAGTGCTCTCTGCAAAGTTTACAAAGGTCAAATACATAACATTCAAATCAAGCAAATAAAATGTTAAACATCATAAAACACATTATTGCCTTTAAAACAAAAATTAATACAGTAATCAAACTAATACAAAATACAACACAAAAGCAAAGAACACATTAAAAACAACACCGCTATGGAGGAAATGTTGAAATATCAACATAGGTTTTCATATTTCCATAATACTGGGACTATCACTAAAAAAATCATGGACCCTAATAGATTCAAGTCTAGCTTTGAACACATGGCAAGCTCCTGGGCCACTCCTCCATATAAGTGGGCCCTAGCCATTTAAAGATTTATGTATAATACCAAGCCCCTTGAATTTGATTTAGAAGTTTACTGAAAGCCAGTGCAACTTGGCCAGAAGTGGTGCAATATGCTCTGGCCATGATGCTTGACAGGAACTCGGCCTGGTGCATTTTATACTTGCTAAAATTTCCAGATCTCCTTCAAGGGAACCCCATGTAAAGTGCCATGCAATTATCTAATCAGGAGTTAACTAGAATATAAACCATAAGATCTCTCAAGGAAAGGACACAACTGGGAATAATGGAATGCAAATGGGAATAGGTACACCTCTCCAACATGCCGAACTGGGCAGTCTGGGACAACATGGAATCAAGGAACATCTCCTAATTGTGCACCTGATTCTTAAGGGGAAGCATGCCACCACCTAAAAAAGAGAATTTCCTTTTCAATTGTTTGAGATCTGTTCTGACTACAGGACTGATAAACGTGTCTGAATTCAGTCTCAACTTGTACCTAATCCTGTCTGCAGTTCAGCCCAAGCGGGAGGCAACCATGAAGCCCAATACACCTCATAAGGATGGAAAGGAGATAATAAACTTGGGTGGTAAATATAATGTGGAACAGAATCAAACTCAAAGCAACTCTACAACATAAAAGCTTTGGGGTGGAACACTAATTCTCTAGTAGTACTACTGACTAGATCCTATTCTTGACAATGTTATGCCCCCAGCTCCCTAAGGTGATGCTAAGGATACCATAGTTGATTGTATCAAAAACTTTAGAATTCTCTAGGAGCACCAACAAGGAACATTGCCCCTATTTTCCCCTAATAGATTGTCCATCATGGAGACCAAAGTTGTCTTGGTTCTAACCAGATAATGAGTTTCAACCAGGAGTACTTGGAGTTGTCCTATCATCACTCTTAGCCTCCTTGGCTAGGAATGGTCAATTTGATGCTGGTCTGTAGTTGTTAAAAAGGAGGTATCTAAAGATGATGGCTTCCAGAGAGGACATATCACTGCCTACTTCAGGGCAGATAGCACTTGTCCTCTGTTGGGGAAGATACTGTTAATCAAAAAGAACACCTTCCTCAACTGATCCCTTCCAGAACTGTGAGCCAAAAAGGGAAGTGAGTCTAACGGATATGTGGTAGTCTAAACTCATCCAAACATCCTGTCCACATCCTCAAGAAATACATGTTGAAAGTGATCCAAAAACATAGGACAAGCATGTGAGCTAGTCTCCTTCCTAGTTTATTGCTAAAGGTGTCTTATAAGCAGAGCTAGTTCAGCATGGTTGTTGGACATCCCTGAAAACAAAATGTTTCAGGACCCTTAACCCTTCCTTCAAGACCAGTTCTGCCAGCGCAGGAAGGAGATTATAAGAAGAGGGGCACATGGTACATGGGTAGAAAGAATTGGAAAAGATGGTCCCTCAGTGATTGGCCTTACCATCCCAGATTAAATCAACCAAGAGTCTTATTAAATCACCCAGTGTGGATTAAATCACCCACTGTGTGTTATTCACCACTGATGTAGCATTTACCAGGAAAAAGGCGATAAGGGGGTTGCTGATATCCCTCCCTCCCTCCCTCCCTCTGACTGCAGGCAATAACTGCCAATACTCCATCTTCTGTAATTATTGGTACAGGTCCCACTTCTCTTCCCCTATTCCAGGAGCTTCTAATCAACCATCCCTCCCATATCCCCCAAAACAAAAACTCCTGAAGTGATCTATTCCCTCTGCCAATAACTACAATAAAGACAAAGAGATCTGTTCTTTATGTAACTGTCACACAACCAATTTTAACAGACCAGAGACTCCCACAAAACAAAAATAATAACTTATAAGCACCCAGAAGGCAAAAATTCTCTACCATCAACTCTGTCTTGTGCTTTATTTCTCTTAACCACAACCACAATAGTTTCTTTCACTGCATTTATGATCAACCTTGACATACCTTCTTCAGAACTTCAGAATCTTCCTACTCTCTGCATACAGTTCACTTTATCTGCCAAAAGCAGCATAACCAGTAATTCATAGATTCATAACCAGTAATTTTTTTCTGTCATTCCCTTTTCTCACAACAATGATACTTTCTTGTCCCCACATCTAAACATCCATCTGCAGTTCACACTGTCCAAAACATATTCATATTGTGTACCTTATTTTATACACATATTCTTGTGTAAAATTAAATCATCATATTCTTATAACATAGAATAGCTTTGTTATGTTTTGGCAAGCAGGGTATTTAGATGTGCAGCATCTTCTTTCCCATTTATGTTATGACAGCAAACAAGCCAGAAATAGCAATCTTTACACAATGCCCGAAATAAAATTTGGGTTCCTGTTTTGTTCTTCTCAAACTAGGACTTATCAGTAAGAAAGAAAGCATATTCCTGGCTTATAGTATCTTAGCTTGGTCAAAAGAAACAAATCAGGAGCTTCATGTTCATGTTTCATGTGTCATATGAATTAATCATTTTCTGGTTTTATTGTTTTATTTGCTTGGCTGAAAGAAAGGGAAAAATAATATACAGACAATAAATCAGAAATTCTTGGTTACTGTTTGACTGTCTAACCACTCCATGCCCCTGATGAAGTGAGGTACAGCTCATCTACTATTTTCTGTAACTTTTTTTTAAACAAACCATTGCACAGTACTTTATGTCCTAATATCTAGAGCTCAAGTTAGCAAAGAATATATGTTGGATAATTAATTGTGTTTTACATACTTTAGTTTACATACTTTAGTTTAGCTGTAGCTTTAGTTACAAAGATGTTTAAGAATGTTTTAAATGGAATCAAGTTTTATATTATTTTACTTAGCATAGTTATCTATAATCAATAGAGGAGAGCAGTTCTGACTGTGGCAGTAATGATATAAAAGGCTCACTAGCCATACACACATTTCAGCAAGGTTTTGATTACATGGTTTCAAATTCGTTCTTAAAAATAAGTTTATAGCATTTTTTTTCTTCTGATCTGCATCTTCTCAGTGTTACAGGGAAGAGTAGAGGGCAACATTTCTATAGGTATGTTGCAATGTTTTTTCATACTTCTTTGGTATGCATTATACAATTATAAAAACTCTTCTTGTTCAGAAGGGTATAGTGTAGTAGTATAGCATTGTTTGAAAATGTAGTTGCAGATATGGCTAGTTTGAAAATTAGGAGTTCTTTAGAATCCGTCTCCATTATATCTCAAAACAAACTTTGAAGTACCATATTTGTACACGTGTGCAGAATACCAGGTCAGTTTTTCTTAATGTTGTGAAGTAGCAAGTGTATTGGATGCTAGATTCACACATTTTGTATAATTTTTTACAAAATAGCTTCGTGTGGGAACTGTGCTTTTTTTCTTACATAAATACATTAATTTCAAAACTGTCTAGCATTTTCAAATTTATTAAGCTGATATAAAGTTTATGATTTATTTAAAGCAAATTATTGATAATGACAACTTCATTAAAATTGTTTCATTAAACAGTAAATACAAACTTTTGGAGTCAAGATTAGAGTCTACACTGAAGAAATCACTTGAAATAAAAGAAGAAAAAATTGCTTCTTTGGAAGCACGATTAGAAGAATCAACAAATCTAAACCAACAGCTCCGCCAGGAGCTTAAGACAGTAAGTTAAAAAAATGTTCCCTTCTATCTTGTGATGTAATATCTGAAACTTATTTTTAAGTTCATAAAAAGTTTACAACATTTATTAAATTGCAAATCCACAAAATAAAATATGCCTACTATTTATAAGGACTGCTAATTTTAAAGCAAGAGAGTTGTTAAAGTACAGTTTTCTGCCAACTGTACTTTTCTACTCTTAAACTGACACTTTTTTTTATCAGGAGGGATACAAGTTCAAATGAAAACCTGGGTTAAAGCAACTAGGGAGAAGCAGTTGGGGAGGAAGAAAAATGTGGGGAAGAAATGTTCACCACATCAGTAGTTAGGCTTTCTAGGAATTCAGCAAAAATAGGGTAAATACTACATTTCCTTACCCTTTGGAAAATTCCCAGCTCTTACTTACAAGTAGCAACATAAGCAACTCACTTTCATCCATTTAGTCCAAAGTAATTTGTCCTTGTACCCTCTTACCTTTTTGGAATGATTTCCTCAAAGGGACTTCTGCCTCTCATCTATCTATCCTAATGCAATTCAGCAAGAGGAAACAGGCACTGAGTTGGTAGCAAGCTGTTAGCCCTGTAAGGTAGGCCAGGTCAGGAAACAGACTCCAAGTTTGATTGAAACTATACTTTATTGATATAGGCTATAGTGACACAATCTTGAAAGCCTGACTGTGTCTTCCTTCCCTCTTATTCCCCCATGAATTAGGGTGAAGCCAGTCTGAGTTTCTTCCTTACTCTTTCTCTATTTCCCAGGCTTAATGCATGCTTTTGTTTTCTTAACTTTTTTTTTTCCCTAAGATAGTCTCTGTGGGTGTCTACGTAAGCAAACCTCAAGCAGTTTCCTAGGTGTTTCTGTTTCTCAACTGCTGGGGAAGCAAAGTAGAATAGGGAAGAGGGGGAATAGCTGTTAAGTCTTAGCTCACCAGAATGCCTTTCACTATCCTCTTTCTGCCTCTCTTGCAAGGGTTTCACTCTACTGGATTGACTCTACCTGGTTGACTCCCAATTACTCAAAAGATGATGGTAGCATTATTTTTGCATCATACTATTTCTACTAGTATGAATATTGATTCTTGAATTTTATAGAAAAAATAAAATCATTTAAAAATATACTAAAGAAGTTATTGAGTCATAAGAATATTTAGAATTTGTGTAGTTCTTTTGAGGCTTGGAAGCCTAATTCTATCTGTGTTCGGTAGGTCTTACTCCAAATAAATGGGCATAGGATTGTAGCCTGAAGCGTGTATTGGCCTGTATGGTCTTTTTGATAAATCATAAATTAAATAATGAAATAATGAATTAACAATGCAGTCATTAGAAGAAAATCTTGCTATGGGCTAATCAGTCCCTAAATATTTGCCATGTAGTATTTGCTGCAACAATAAGTGATTATCAAGAGGTGTTAAATCTTATTCTCAGCATTTCTATAATAATGTAGCAGATCTTGAGATCAGGTTGTTGTTTGCAGTTACATTTTTATTCTGTTTATTTTTGCAGTTCACAACAAATGGACTGTTATAGAAATGAAAGCAATAAATAATGGTCCTGTTGCCTTAATAGTGGTCAGGTTATTGGGCTAGAACTTGGAAGACTTAGGTACAGATCCCCATTCAATAATTTAATTTACTAGTGACTTACAACCTAACCTTCACTTGGTTTTTATATGGTTAAAATGTATGCTACCTTGAGCTCTGAGAGGGAAGATAGGGTAGAAATGTAATAAAGAATGTATTTGTATATTAAAAATAGAATTAATTTATCTTTAGGTGAAAAAGAATTATGAAGCCCTCAAGCAAAGACAAGAGGAGGAGAAAATGGTACAGAGTTGTTCTTCAAAACTTGATGAAGAAAGTCAGCCTGTCAATAAATGGGAAAGAGAGAATCAGGAAACTACTAGAGAACTTTTGAAAGTTAAAGACAGATTAATTGAAATTGAAAGAAATGTAAGTATTTCATTTGTTTTACTAGAAACTGTTAAACATTTCATAGTTTTTGTAAATCTTATACAGGTGATATGCTTGTACAGACTACATGTTAGAATCTTCTAGAGTTGTGTGGGCTTTGTTTAGTTTGTTTTTAGGAAGAAGCAAGCCTGTAGTATGCATGCCCCAAAGCATAGTTCCCTCCTGTCTCTTCACTTTCCTTTTGACTGCTGCATAAGCAGCAACATCTTAATTCTTAGTGGGTTTAAAGTAATTTTTATCTTAGCAGAGTACTTATTTTTCTATTTTTCTCCAATATTCTTATTTTCTTTGCCTTATAAAAGAAGAGTTCTGAGGTTTATTGTTAAATGCAGTGCTAAATTATCACCTATGGAGGATGGACACACTTCATGCCTCATTTACTTAGAAGAAGATCAACAGTAAACAGTTGCCCACATTTTCAGTGTTTCACTAAGTGACTTCTTGACTCTATATTCTCCTCTATGATCAGTCCTTGTTTGCATCCAGCCCATCCATCTCTTCTATACTACTGCTTTCAATATTAGTTGCTTCAAAATCAAAATTCCTAAATTTATGCAAAACTTATCTAACCCATCTCAAAGCCACATACATTTTCTATCATGATTCCAAATCATCTTCTATCTTCTAGTCACCCTCCTATACCTATGGATTCTCTTAGTCTTCCTTCTTTTCAGAAATTCAAGGACAAAGTCTAAGTACAGGTAGTCCTTGACCTACAACCATTTGTTCAACAACGGTTCGAATGACTGGTCCTTGGAGTTCTGGGTGTCCCAGCACCCCTGCGATCATCTGATTGTGATCTGGGTGCTTGGCAACTGGTTTGCGCTTATGACCAGCTGCAGCGCCCTGCGATCACATGATTGCCATTTGCAACCTTCCCTGCTGGCTTCCCCAGAAAATCAGTGGGAAAGCCGAGAGGGAAGGTAACAGGCTGCAGTAGGTCTTCCCCACCCATGCACTGTCTTCCATCCCTCTGCGCTTGCGCTGTGCCAGCCACTCCTGCACCCCTGCTCTCCTGACCTTGCCATACCCTCATGCACTCTCCCCAACTCTCACTGCGCCTCTCACACACACCCTCGCACCCTTGCACACCTTCCCTGACCCCCACTGCACCCTCATGTACCCTCCCCAACCCTCACTGCACTTCTTGCGCATCCTCCCTGACCCACACCTCACTCTTGCACCCACACCTCACCCTTCCCCAACCCTTGCCATGCTCTCGTGTATCCTCCCCAACCCTCACTGTGCCTCTCACGCACCCTCCCTGACCCATGCTGCACCCTGGCACATCTGGGCTGCACCCTCATGCACCCTCCCTGACCTGCACTGCACTCTTGCACACTCTCCCCAACCCTTGTGCACCCTTCCCGACCCATGCCTCTAATGCACCCCTCTCACCCTCCCTGACCCTTGTGCGCCTTTTGTGCCACCCTTGCACCTTCACGCACCCTCCGCGACCCTCACTGCACCTCTTGTTCACCCCTGCGCATCCCCTCACTCCTTCCCCCAACCAGCAGCAGCTTGCCGGCCTGGGACTTGCAACTTCCTGCCGGCTTCCCCGCTGACTTTGGTTGTGGGAAGCTGCCAGAAAGTTGCCTCATCTAATGACTCTGGGATTTGGTTTATGACCATATCACTTAGCGACAGAAATTCCAGTCCCAATTGCCATCATAAGTCAAGGACTATTTATGTAATTTCTCAGATCAATATTCATACCACCATTCAGGTAGTATAACAGATCTCCCCAGTTACATAGAGATAAAACTGCTACTTCCTCAACCTTTGGTGGAAAGAAACATTCCTGTATTACCTGCTCTTCTTATGCTTGTTCCCTGGTTAACTTAGAAGTGCAACCATTGGTATCAGAGGGAGAGATTCTAGAACCATTTTTCTTTCTTTTTTCAAATAATTTTATTAAGAATTACAAATAGAATAAAAATGAATACAAACTACAAAAAATATAGAAATATAAAAAGAAAAATACAAAGAAAAAAGTGTAGAAAAAAGGAAGAAAGAAGACACTTCCCCCTTCATTCCAGCAAGTGAAAACAATTTTAATAGCTTACCACCATCGCGTAATAGAATATATACTTTCTTCACCTCATAACTCATCTCTTAACTAAAAAACAAAATCCAAAAACCTCATCATTCATTCTTTATCAGCAAAAGTCAAATAAGGAAACCAGATATAACTAATTTCCTATTTTAACCTTGATTAAATAAGCCAACTCTGTACTCCTTACCTGAATTTTTGACAATCTTGATATTTAAGTCATTCAAATATAGTCCCAGAGCTTGTTTTCTGTTCGTCTTTTTTTAAACCCAAGGATCATCCAAAACTTTAAGAAAACTCTTTTATAAATCCAGTAAGTAAAATTTGTCCTTTTTTAAAATCACTTCTTATAAAGCCCTTCAAGAATTTAGCAGACCTCTTTTGTGAATCCAGTAAGAAAAAGTTATCCAAGGAAAAGTTATTAAAATTTTCTGATTTAATGTACATCTCCTTTAAGCAGTGAACTATCCATCAGTTTCATTT